AGTACAGCATAATAATAAATTACCAAATAAATAAGTTGTTCTCCCTTACAAATATATACTTCATTACCAATTACCACACAAGAAAAATAATTTTCTCAAACATAAAACTGAAGGTTCACTTCATCTTCCTTTAGATTGTTCAAATTTAATGCATCTGTACTAAGCTTACAAATATAATATATTTGAAGAAATCACCAAAGGTAGAACGTTGTTTCGTGTATGTGCAAAGGTCAAAGTTAGCAACTGGCAATAAGATGTCCAGGAGGCAACTGACTAAGGCAACAGACAACTAGTTGCCTGAACGAGCAGCCTCTTGGCTGAGATAGTTCGACTGTTGCCATGAACATTTCAATTAGAGAATTGAAGATTTCTTCACAAAATGAACAAATATGAGGGAGATCAACCTGAAGTACCTATACGTATGACATCACATCAGTTAGAGGAGTTGCGGTTTTCAACATGAAGTCAAAAATATCACTTTTACCAAAAATAACAAAACAATATTCTTCAAAATTAGAGAATTTAAGATATCATCACAAATGAGCTAATCTGAGTAAGGTCTACCCATGGTTTTAAAGAAGAAGTTGAAAAAGTAAAAAAGTTGACGTGGATGCCGGCCAATCAGTTATATGATTAGCTTCGCTTGACAAAGTTTGCAACAGAGCTAAAAACCCACATAATGGTTTTTCAGGTGCAATGCCTGACCAATCTTAGTGATGCAATTATACAATACACAGAAGGCAACTCATCACGCAACTTAGATCGCACATTGCCCAGTACGTTGCCTTATGAATCACCTTGTGTCCTTTACACTTTTCAAAATATTGAGGCAATGATTGACACAATGTAATGGCATGGTATAAATGCATTTGCTGGCATCCTGAACAGCGTATTTCTTTTTTTTTTGGCCTCAGATATGCTCTTTTCATCTGGAATCTGGTCATATTTACTGTTTATCGAGTTGTCAATTTAAATAATTTACTGTGACCAGTGATTTAAATGAGCAGGGATATTACAATAAATTTCAACCTAGACAACATTATGTAAATATCAACACAGACAACATATGTAAATATCAACACAGAGAACATATGTAAATATCAACACAGAGAACATATGTAAATATCAACACAGAGTACTTATGTAAATATCAACACAGAGAACATATGTAAATATCAACACAGAGAACATATGTAAATATCAACACAGAGAACATATGTAAATATCAACACAGAGAACATATGTAAATATCAACACAGAGAACATATGTAAATATCAACACAGAGAACATATGTAAATATCAACACAGAGTACTTATGTAAATATCAACACAGAGAACATATGTAAATATCAACACAGAGTACTTATGTAAATATCAACACAGAGAACATATGTAAATATCAACACAGAGAACATATGTAAATATCAACACAGAGTACTTATGTAAATATCAACACAGAGAACATATGTAAATATCAACACAGAGAACATATGTAAATATCAACACAGAGAACATATGTAAATATCAACACAGAGAACATATGTAAATATCAACACAGAGAACATATGTAAATATCAACACAGAGAACATATGTAAATATCAACACAGAGAACATATGTAAATATCAACACAGAGAACATATGTAAATATCAACACAGAGAACATATGTAAATATCAACACAGAGAACATATGTAAATATCAACACAGAGAACATATGTAAATATCAACACAGAGAACATATGTAAATATCAACACAGAGAACATATGTAAATATCAACACAGAGAACATATGTAAATATCAACACAGAGAACATATGTAAATATCAACACAGAGAACATATGTAAATATCAACACAGAGAACATATGTAAATATCAACACAGAGAACATATGTAAATATCAACACAGAGAACATATGTAAATATCAACACAGAGAACATATATATTTTCATGACTTTACTTCACTAGCGGAAGCGGGCGGGAGGTTGTGCGAAAGGAGTACTGTAACTTTGCACAACTTTCTTTTAAA